TGTAGTTGAGACTGACCTCACACTCACTATGTACCCCAGGCTGGTCTCGAACTCACAGTGATCCTTCTGCCTCAGCCTCCCGAGTGCTGGGATTATAGGCGTGCGCAACCACACCTGGTATTCAGCAGTTTTTTAATTTAATTTAATGTTTTAATTTTTTTGGCACCGGGGATCGAACTCAGGTCCTTGTGCTTGCAAGGCAGGCACTGGAACCACTGAGCTAAATCCCCAGCCCTACCAGTTTTTGAAAAAGAATATTCAGACTTGTACGGACATTACTACTATCTAACTCAGAACATTTTCATCACCCCAGAAAGGAGCCCCATGCCCTTGAGCAGTCACAGTGCCCTCTTCCCAGACCCTGGCAACACCAGTCTGCTTTTGTCCCCATGGACTTCGTGTTTGGGACATTGAGTATAAATGAGGTCCTCCAATATGTGACTTTTGTGTCTGCATAGGGCATGCTTTTCACGACTGAGCCACGCTGTCCCCTGTTCTGGCTCCCATCCCAGGGACAGAGATTCCTAAGACTCTCAGGGTCCCGGTGAGAGTTCACAGGGTGTTTGTGTGTCCTGCTGGAGTCCCCCAGCCCTCTTGGGTTTGCAGAATAACTGAGTGACTGTTGTGGCCTCGCTGGCCCTTGGCAGGGCCCTCTGAGTCAGACCCGCCAGACCTGCCCCACCTGGATGGTGTGAGCTTTGAGGGGGACGCCCTCCCAGATGGGGAGGGGACCCAGCAGGACACTGGGGCTCTGTCTGCCCTGGACAGGCGGCCAGTGTGCAGCAAACAGGAAGCGGGCTGGGCCGAGACCTACTAGGTAAATATGGGCTGGGGAAGGTGCCCAGCATGGTGTGATGCCCCCCACTGCACCCCGCGAGGGGCTGGGAGCCACGGGCAGCCTGGCAGGCGGGAGGTTTCGCCTGGCCAAGGGCGGAGTGCCCCGCCGGCTGCTCCCAGTGACGCTGCTGCACGGTGGCTGCTGTGTCCTCCTCTCAGGCCCTGGGCCCAGCTGCTCTGCCTTCTCCGGCCCATCTCGCCATCCTTGGTCCTCAGCTTGTTTGTCCTCACCCCTGATACTCATCACTGTATGCTGTCACCAAACCTAGGGTCACCACGCCTCCTCTGTTAGTGACAATGCCCTCGGTGGATGCTCCGAGATCCCATTCTATCTGTGAGGAGACCAAGGCTCAGAAAGCTCAGGTGCCTGTCTCAGGGTCACCTGTCTTATAGGTTCTAGTCCCGATTCCCTCCTCTGGAACCAGGCCACATCAGACAAGTGACTTTTTCTGTCTAAGCCTCAGTTTCCTCCCGATGGTTTTCTCTCCAGCACAGCAGAGCTGTCCTCTCTGTCCCTTCCCACCCACATCAGCCCCTCTGGGACTGACCAGGAGGGCCCGGTGCCCCTAGTCATGTTTATCTGAGGGCAGTACAGGAGTGGGGTCCCATAGATTGGCCAAGGAGCCCTGGGATGGGGTACAGAGGGTTTCTGAGTGTCCGAGCCCCTTCCCTGAGGTCTGGTTCCTGCCCTGCACCAGCACCCCCATCTTCCTTCCTTTCTTGTCCTGGTGCCTCAGTGTGCCCAGCAACCGCCATCCGTACAGCCTCTGCCCTTTTTTATTTCCTCCTCCTTCATTTTTTTTTTAACTTTTTATTTTGAGACAAGGTCTCGCTAAGTCACCCCAGCTAGGCTCAAACATATCACCCTTCTGCCTCATGCTCCCAGAATGCTGGGACTATAGAGGCGTGTCATCACACCTGGCTCCTCCTGTTCTTATAGTCTAAGAAAAGTATTCTTGCTGCCCCATCTTGGCCCACTGTGAGGCTAAATGCTGGGGATGCAGTGGACACGAAATAGTCCTTACTCCATGGAGCTAAAACTCCAGAAGGGAAGAAGAAGAATAGAAGAACATGAGTAAGAGTGAAAGTTTTGGTTTTTTTTTTTTTTTTTTTGGTACTGGGGATCGAACTCCTGTCCTTGCGCTTGTGAGGCAGGCAGCAGAACCACTGAGCTAAATCCCCGACCCGAAAGTTTTATTATAGAAGGGCTGAAGGTGCAGCTTGGCGGTAGAGTGTGGGTCTAGCATGCCTGAGGCCCCTCCACACATCTCACACCTACATGCACACACACACAAGCACTGTGAGGGAGTGGGAGCCGGGCAGTGCAGGAAAAGCATTCCAGACTGAGGGAAGAGCCCAGGCAAAGGCTGGAGGGAGGAGAGGCCATCTACCTTCCCTCCCAGGCCGGGAGTTTTCACTCTGTGCCTGCTTGGGTGCCTTGCAAGCAGGTGGTACCCGACAGACAGACAGGCAGACAGGCAGTCAGACAGACAGATGCCTGCTGGAGAATTGATCACAGAGGGAGGGATCTGGGAGGAACCAGCTCCCCAGAGCCCCCTCCCCTGGAGTGGAGCAGCTCTGCACGCCCAAACTTGCCCCACATTTAAGCAGCTTTCCTTGGTCATAATCAGGAGGTTGGGATTTGGCAGAGCCCAGTGTTTCCATGAGAGCAGGCAAAGCCACGGTGACCGTGCGGACGGACCCTCCTTCCACCCTTCTTGCGGGGCTGGGGGCTGGGCTGGGAGCCCTCTGCTTTCTGCTGGATGCGGTATTCTTGGAGAGAGTCTGCCACCCACCCTGCAGTTCGCTGTTTGTTGAGGGCTCATTCTGTGCCAGACATTGGCTCAACTCCTAGACTTTGAGCCAGGGTCTCAGAAAGCCAGAGGTCTCTGGGGCAGAAACGAAGGATTGGGGACCCTGGCTCGGTGCTAGGTCCCCCCCACCCTGCTTGGGACCCTTCCGGTCCCTTCACCGGGCCACTCTCGGGCTCCTCTGATGCACATAGCTCTCAACACCACTGCCTGCTGCTGGGTTTGTCTAGTTTTGCTCCCCATCAGAGGGGCAGCCCCAGGAGGGACCTCTCCCAGTTTTGTGCAGAACTGGCACAGTGCCTGGTACACAGTGGGTCCTCAACATACTTGTGGGCTAAATGAATAGATGAAGGGCTCCTAATCTTGTCCCTTGGGCCCTGGGATCCAGTCCCTCCCTCTCCCTACTCTTCCCTGGCTGGCATCTGTGTGCAGACTCTAGTCTGGCATATATATTTTAAACCAGGGATGGGATCCTGGGAACAGCACATTTGGAAACCGCTGCTGTGGATGCACACAATTGCAAAGATGCTGGGAAGTGAACTGTTCACACTTGTGCCTGGTGTGGGCCCACAGTGATGTGGCGGGCCCTGTGAGGCCACGCACACAGACGCACAGACACACACAGGCACGGGCACACACCCCACACCCAGACAGAACACTGGAGATGCTGTGACCCAAACCCGGCCCCTCCTCCTCCCAGCCGGCTCCTCTCCCCTCCGCCCTGAGGCCCTGAGGCTGGCCGAGCCTGGAATGTGTAAATCACAGGCTCCAGGGCAAATTAGAGCAGGGAGTAAACTCTGTCCCCAGCCGCAGGGAGCAGGGCAGCATTAGGGGAGGGAGTGGCTGCAGAGTGGTGGAGCTGGCCATGGGCAAGTGCACATGTGCGTGTGTGTGTGTGTGTGTGTGTGTGTACATACGTGTGTACATGTGAGCGCACGGGTCCTGTTTGGGGTGGTGGCGGAGCCCAGGGTTAGGAGTTCAAAGACCATTTACTCCTCAGCTGGCCTCAGCCTCAGTTTCCCTGGCTGTGAAGTAGGAGCTGTAGCTGACTTTGCTGGGCAAGTTTCCCGGGGGATCACGAAGGAGAGGCTGGAAGGGCGTGGGTGGGCTCCGCTGTGGCCTGTGACACACCCTGCAACCTGCCTTGAGGGGCGGGAGCAGGGCCACAGGTGGATCCCAACCGGTCATGTCGGCGACGGTAAAATAGGACAAGAAGCAACACTGTCAAGCGTTTATTGTCGCTCACGGGACCCTGCACCTACCTCATGCCACAAAAGCCCTACAAAATAGGAGTTATTTTTTTTGAACCATCTTTTGTAAGTAATTTATCTGGTTTATAAAGTTCTGATTTTTAAAGTTATAATAGGAGCTATTCTTAGAACCTGTTTCACAGGTGGAGAAACTGAGGCTCAGAGAAAGCAGAATGGGCTGATGGTAATAATCCTTCTGTCGTGGGGTGGTTGGGAGTTGTGAGTGAGGTCGGGAAGGGCTCAGCGTGGTACCCGGTCATGCGCAGTAGGCTCAGGGGTTGGGTACCCTGAGCTCTGCAGCCAGCTGCTTGGCTTTTAATCCTGGCTCTCTTGCTAACCTGCTGTGTGGCCTTGGGGAAGTCTCTTTAGCCTCTCTGAGCCTCAATGACCTCATCTATAAAAGGAGAATTATTGCAGAACCTACCTGCAGGGCAGACTTTCTCAGTTTCAGCCTCAGTGATGTTTCGGGCTGGGTCTTTTCGTGGTGTGGAGCCTTCCTGTGCATTGCAGGGTGTTTCGTGGCATCCGGGGCCTTGCCCCACCAAATGCCAGTAGCCCTCTCCCTCATACAGCCCTGACCACCAAATGTGTCACCAGACATTGCCAGGTGTCCTTTTCTAGAGATGCGGGAGGCTTGGATGAGACTGAACACGTGAGGCCTCAGGTGGGTACCGGTGCACTGAGAATGACCGGTCCCAAAGACAATGTGATTTATTTTGTAGTGATTATTTCGTCAGAACTCAAATGCTAATCATGGTTGAGGTGCAAGGGAGACTGAGCAGGGATCGGAGCCCCAGGCTGGCTGTCTCCAGAACTCCTGGCTGCTGTCCAGGCTGGGGCTCCTTAGGGCTGGGGTGCAGGAAGGACCCTCCCAGCTGTCTCTGGCCTTGGGAGCTCCCTAAGAGGGCCCCGAATGGGGAGCCATGGTGAAGGATTTAGGGACGTGTTAACTGCAGAGGGCCACGTGCCTGACCTCAGATCTAACCCACACCCGCCATGCCCTGCCCTCCCTCCCGCCACCCCCCACTTCTGGAGTACGAGGACCAGAGTCACACAGTGACCACAAGGGCCTGAGGATCCCGGTGTGGCTCTCTCACTACAGGTGGACATGAGCTGACGCCTCCAGAGGTCCTGCTGGTGCTGCCATTGAGTGGTGCCTCGCATGCCCAGGGGCCTAGGAGGAGGCACGGGCACCCCGGTTTTACAGGTGGGTGAACCGAGGCCCTAAGAGAGGAAGTGAATCTTTCAAGATCACGCAGCAGCTCTTTACCAGCGCCGTTACCTGGGTTTGTTTGACTTCAGACCTGTGCTCCTGACCCTTCCTCCCTCCTTTGCTGAGAACTGACAGCTCCCACTTTAACCCAGGGGTACCACTGATGTTTCTGATCTCATTTATCACGGCCTGTAACTCTGCAAGAAGCTACTGCTATCAGGCCGTTTTCCAGAGGGGGAGACAGGCTCAGGAGCTCAAGCGACTGGCCCACACGTGTCGTTAGTAGGAGTGGGACAGAACCGGAGCCCGAATGAGGTCCAGGTGCCGCCTCCCTGTTGGTGTCGGCCAGGCGCTCCGAGCCTCCGAGGGTCTGGCCACAGCCCACCTCTCTGGCCCAGGCCTTCCCTCCTGGCAACTACAGAACAAACAAGGCAAAGGGCCAACCAGCTTGTTTGTCCTTGTGCGTATGCGTTCGTGGGGAACCCACAAGAGAGGGCTGTTCAGAAGGTCCCTGCCCCTGAGTGGGGTGGAAAGAGTTCCAGGAAATTGGCTCTCAGTGCCAGCCCCGCCTGGCCCACAGCGCGCTGCTGAGAGCTGGAGGCTGACGGCCAGCTGTCCTGCCCCTCCTCTGCCCTTGCTCCTGGCTGAGCACTGGGCACAGGAGCTGGACGGACTTGTCCCTTCAGGCTGTGTGACTGCCCTGCTGTGGGCCTCAGTTTCCTGCTGTGAGAAACCGGAGCAAATGACGCCTTTGTCTTAAAGCTCTGGATTCCTGTGGGGTCTCGGGAGTGAGTATGTGGGTGGGTCGCCATGGGCCACGGCACTCACAGTTTGGGGATGAACGGTTAGCATGGAGGCTGAGAGTGAGGGTTCAGGGCCAGGGAGGGCTTCCCAGGGGAGGGGACAGTTGAGCTGGGAACGAGTGGGCAGGAGTCACCCAGGCAGAGGGGAAGGAACAGTGAAGGCTGGGCAGTCAGCTAAGGTCTGTGTAACCGGGGAAGTTGCCTGAAGTCTGGGAGCCTCGATTTCCATTTCTGTAAAGTGGGAGTCGCATTGAGGGGGGAGACCAAGGGCCACTGGTGCACATAGTAGGTCCATGTGGATTTCCTGGTCACCTTCTGGGCTGGAGGACAAGCCTCAATGCATCAGTAAACTCTCCTCTGTGGCAGGCACTGCCCTGGCCTGGGCCGGCGAAATCTCTGCTAATTCTCCCATTTCATAGATGAAGAAATAGAGGCCGTGAAATGCCAACTTGCTTAATGTGCCATGGTGGCTAAGCGTGGACCTGGCTTTGAACCAGGCTCCAGAGCTGGCTCGATGGGTCAGTAGGAGCATTTGGGGTCCCAGTGTGACTCGGAGGCCCTTCCTCCCCCAGGGTCGCCGCGGAGGCAGACCCAGACCCGTTTTAGACTCCTGAAAGAGGCTCCTGTTGCAGCTCCTGCCTGGGGCTGGCCGCCAACCGCATCTGGGTGTGGCCACCCCACCCCTGTCATTACAACAGTGGCTTTGAAGCAGCTGGTGGCAGTGCTGTTTGCCCACAAGGGAGGGGGCTTCCTGGAGCCCCCACCACTGGCCAGGCCAAGCTCTGCCTGACTCCCCTCTTTCCCCCGCAGGCTGAGCGGTGCTGACAGCTCCAGGGCCAGCATGGCAGATCCTGATGACAGTCCCCGAGTGGGGCCTGGGGAGCTAGCGGAGCCCCCCGGGGATGAGAGTGGCACTTCTGGCGGGGAAGCCTTCCCTCTCTCCTCGCTGGCCAGTCTGTTTGAGGGGGACGAGGGCTCCTCTTTGCCCTCACCAGCTGATGCCGGTCGCCCCGCCGGCCAGGGCGATGGGCGACCCAACCTGCGCATGAAGTTCCAGGGTGCCTTCCGCAAGGGGGTGCCCAACCCCATCGACCTGCTGGAGTCCACCCTGTATGAGTCCTCGGTGGTGCCTGGGCCCAAGAAAGCACCCATGGACTCGCTCTTTGACTACGGCACCTACCGTCACCATCCCAGTGACAACAAGCGGTGGAGAAGGAAAGTCATGGAGTGAGTATTGCTGGCTGTGTGGTCATTGGCCTCCTCCTCCGGACCGATCTGTCCACCCGTCCTCTGTGCGTGGATTAGTGGACTGACATCCCCAAGTCCACCTGTGAACCCGTCTGTCAATCACCCACCCACCCCTCTATACAGCCGCGGACCCATCTGTCTCCTGCTGCCTTCAGCAGCTTTTTCATTTACTTCATCATCCACCTGCCATTCATCTGCTCATCTGTCCACTTGTCTGTCCACCGACTGCCTAACCGACTTGCCTTTATTCATCAATATCCACTTAGTTTTGTGTCGAGGGATCTATCCGGCCATCATCTGCCCTTCTCTTGTCCAGTCCACCCGTCCGCCTTCCCCTGATTCGAGAATCTTCTCCTCTGTCCGTCTGTCATCTCTAGCCAGCAGCCACCCGCACGACCTGTCTTCCGTTCCTCTGCCGTGTACGTGTTCAGATGCCTCTGTCCGCCAGTCTGCCCACTGTTTCTGTCCATCCAGCCGTTCCGCTGTCAGACTATCCAGGAAGCCTTCCTTTGTGACATTTCTAACGCCGTGAGGCCTCCCTCCTTTCATCCCTCTCCCTTCTCCTCCTCCTTCCTCCTTCTCCGCTTCTCCCTCCTTGCCATTCTTCTTCTTTTCCTTTCTTTCCTAACCACCAGTTCCTGTCTCCAGCGCTCTGTCTACCCATTTATTCATTCACTCATTCATTTGCTTAGTTGCTGACTCATTCATTCATGTTCTCATATTTTCATCCATTTTCCCATCTGTCCAGCCGTCCACCCAGGCTGCCTTTTTCCAGGGGTCTCCCTTATTCCTGAGCACCTCCTGGCTTTGTGGGGGTCATCAGGAGATGAAGCCTTTCTCCTCCATGAAGGAGGCCCGGCTGAGAGCAGAGGAGGGTGGGGAGAAGCCCGTGGGAACGGTACACAGCCTGGTCATGCATTCTCCGCCTGACTTCGCTGGGGACAGAGCCGGGACCCCCACCCCACGTGGACCCGTCCTCCTGTAAGGGGCTCCGCTGAGCTGCTCCTTGCTGTCCACTCTCCGGCCTTTGCCTGGCATCTGCCTGTGGTTGGTGTGGTGCGCCGCAAGCCCAGGTGCTTGTCACTGCCCTGTGAGGCTGAGCCTCCTCCTTCCCGGTCCCTTGGGGGCCTAGTTTCTTCCCTGAGTTTACAGTCTTGTGTCTCCTCTTCTCCAGGCCTGCTGAACAAGTGCAGTTCACGGTCCTTTCTGAGTCCTGTCCCTAATGTGCCCCAAACTGACCCAGGCTTGGACACCAGCCCCTTTTCTGGGGGGCCTTTGTGTGTCCAAAGTCTGGAGATGTCCTGCAGAGGGCCCGTTCTACTCCAGCCCTGACGATCACAGATTCCGTTACCCTGGAGGTGGGCCCATTCCCTCTCAGCCTGTGCCTGGCCTGGAGTCCATCCCTTTAGTCGGCAAGTCAGATTCACTCATGGGTATTTCTTGGGCACCTACTATGTGCTAGGCCAGCGATGGTAAACCCATGACGTGTGTCCCTGTGGGCACACAGAGAGCCCTGTCTGGTGGCTTGCAAACTGAGTCACCCTGGCAGCTGAGAGCATTCAGCAACAGTTACTTTTTCTAAACTAAAACCTCAGTATTCTGGCTTAATTGCGGTGTTGGCACTGTGTGATAAATAAGCAGTTTGGACCCTTGGTTTCTAAAAGTTTTGCCATCGCTGTGCTAGGCTGTGCAGTCGCCCTGCGGGGAGCTGGACCAGATTCTGCCTCAACTCAGATGGTACCTGGCTCCTGTCAGACCAGGAGCCAGGAAAAATAGGCATAGAAGAGACGGCGCTGAGGCTGGAGGGAGGGCATAGGAAGGGTGGTCCAGGACAGCTTCTCGGAGGCGCTGACTTGTGGGCCCAAGGCTGAGGGATAGGCAGGGGCAGCCCCACATCAAGGAGGTGTCTCAGGTCGGGGAGGCTCGGGCAAGGGCCGAGACAGGCAGCTCTAAGGACCACGGCCTCCTGGTCAGTCACACTGCTGGATACTTTGCAGGACCCCCGCTCAGAGGGGAAACTGAGTCCAGGGCAGCAGAGTGCCACAGAGTCCCCCCTGCCCGCCATCCCCAGGCCCGCCAAGGTCTCCTGTCCTCTCCCTCAGACCTTCCAAGGCCTCACACCGCAGTGCCTAGAGTTGGAGGCAATGGAGGGGCCCTGGGGGACTGGGGTACAGCAGCCTCAGTAAGGCCTGGTGGGGGTGGTGCTCAGGCTCCAGCTCGGGAGCCATGAGACAGGGCTGGCAGATGCCCCGGTTAGCAGCTGTCCCAGCGTGTGCCCTGTCCATGGGGAGCACCTCTTCCCCCTCTCCTGGCATTGCCATCTGGGCTCTGGGCAGCAGAACCAGCGCGTGTGGCTGCTCCCTCCAATGCCAGGTGGCAGGGTGACGCCAAAGCCCCCACAGTCTCCCCTGCCCACCCTGGCCCTGCTAACAGCTCTCTCAGGGTTTGCTCTCTGTTCTTGCTCCTGCCTCTCCCTCCCAGATTCTCTGCCTCCGTTTCTCCTTTCCAGCCCCTTTCGCCTTTAACCACTTCTGATTGCCCTTGGCTGGGGGAGAACGTGAGAGAGAGGAAGGGCTCCTGCCTCACCGTGCCCCAGACTGGCTTTCTCTCCCAGAACCAGCTCCCAATAGGGGCCCAATGAATGTTTGTTGAATGACTGAATTTCTCCAAGCCCTCCCTCTTTTCACATCTGATTTTCAGCTTACTTTCTCTCTCCGTCTCTCCTCCCTGAGCCCTCACAGGGTGGTACCCTTTCTCCACCTGCTGATGGGGCTCAGCATCTCTCCCTTGCACAGATGAACAGCAGATACACAGTAGGCACGGGGCAGCAATGGTAATCACAACTCCCGTTTACTGTGTGGTGGGGCCTGGGCTCAGTACCTATGAGCATGGCCCCGTGTGTCCCAAATGTTTGTCGAATGAATGATAAGGTGTGAGTGATGAATGAATGAATGAGATGCTCTATCTTTTAGTTTTCTGTTGCTTATTTTCTGTGTCTCCTTTAGTCTTTGTCTGCCTTAGTTTGTACTCAATAACTGGCAAGTGGATGGATGGGTGGGTGGATGCATGAGCGGGTGCCTGGGAAGATAGACGGGCAGGCTTGTGTTTATTTCTTTCTGTTTTTACCCAACACCCAAGGTACAAGCCATGTTTTACTGGATAAAAATTCTTGGGTGTTTCCAGGGATCCCTTCCCCTTAGTCCCTTAGTCTGGTTTTCCCTGTGTCTTCAGTCCCGGGCCCCATTCCTGACACCCTAAGTTAAGAGACAGTGGGGCAGGCAGGGGACAAGCACCCTATCACCCTTCTCCCTTACTCTCTCCAGGAAGCAGCCACAGAGCCCCAAAGCTCCCGCACCCCAGCCGCCCCCCGTCCTTAAAGTCTTCAACCGGCCCATCCTCTTTGACGTCGTGTCCCGGGGCTCCACTGCCGACCTGGACGGGCTGCTCCCCTTCTTGCTGACCCACAAGAAACGCCTGACTGACGAGGAGTTCCGGGGTGAGCCACTCAGGCGGGCTCCGTCTCCCCTCAGCTCCTCCCCCTGGGTGGTGGGCTCCAGGTGGCACTGCATAGGAAGTCTGGTCCAGTGTGTCCTTTGCCATGTTGCTTAAGTTCTCTGGTCCTTGGCTACCTCCACAGCGTCCTTCCGCCTTTATGAAAAGGTCAGTGTGGTAGGTAAGCAGAGGATCCTCGTGGGTTCAAATCCCATGTTCGCCACTTCAGGGCCATGTGACTTCTCAGACTGTCCCCACCTACACAGTAACAGCAGCGTGGTCCTGGCCTCTCAGGCGAGATTGCTCCGTACAATGCCAAGTGTAACACAGCTGGGGTCCTGGGGGAGGGTACGTCCAACTGGGATTCCTGCCTCCACTACTGGGGAGCCCCTGCCCCCGCATCCTGGGCATCTCTGCTCAGGATGAAACCCAGCTCACTTCCTGCAGCCCAGAGAGTCTGGCCTCCAGCCTGGTCTAGGCCTGTACATCAGGCACGGTGGCTGCAGCCCCTGGGTCCATGTCGGCACCATCATGTGCTGTGGGCCTTGCAGCCGTGATCTCTTGGTCAGATGATCCCGCTGCACAGTGTTCAGTGTCCAAGTGTGGCACCTGCTGCAAAGAGGGGCCTGTCTCAGCTGGTGGTATACGGCTAGGTCTAAGAAAGCTGCAGGCCATTTTTCGAGACTTTAGTTACTTTAAGTAAATTAAATGCCAGAACGAGGTAATGGAGTCCGCGGGTCAGTTCCCACACAAACATTTATCAGTCTGACTCGTCACGGGGAAAACAATACAATGCAGTGCCTTCGTGTCCCTCGGTAGAGAATGACTGGGCCTAAATGCACTTGTGCTGGACATAGTGGTCTACTCTGGGAGGCTGAGGCAGGAGGATCACAAGTTCAAGCCCAGCCTAGTGACTTAGCAAGACTGCTTCAAAGAAAACAAAGGGGCAGGGAACACTGGGGATAAAGCTTAATGCGAAGGCCCTGGGTTCAATTCCCAGTACCAGGAAAAAATTTTTTTCATGGTGCCAGGTCATGCAAGGCAGCCTTGTTTGGGGGCATAAACTCCAAAGGAGGGGAGGTGGGGACCTCTTGCTGCCTCTGACTGTACGAGTGACCGCACTGGGAAATAAGTGCATCTAAGCCCTGGCCAGGCCCCTCCTGGTGCACCCTGTTTGTCTGGCAAAGGGGGGCTTTCTGAGGCTTCTGCCTTCTGAGTTAACACCGAACGGGGCTCTCACCTAGTCGGGAAACCCCAGACAGCTGCGTGTCTGTGCATGAGCAGGGTGGGGGGCCCATCCCAGAGGTTGCAGAGGTCAGTGTAGGTTTGGAGGGGGGATTTATGGGACTCGTGATGCTAATTAAGCCCCAGGGCCCCTGGCTTGCTCAGGCCTCTTCCAAAGTCCTGGACCTACTTTTGCATTCATAATTGTGTGATTTCGTAACCAGGGCTCCCAAATTGTACAATCTCGAGGCTCCACTAAACCTGCATCCGCCCCTGCAATTTTTATGGTTAGAGGCTGATGAGCTCATCTGATTTTCAGGGGACCCCCCCCCCC